CCCGTACGTGCACATCACATGCACCTTCAATTGCGAGACGTAGTCAGAGCAGAGAACTTAGTCGTCGTGTGTGGTTGCAAAGGTGTATCTCTGGGACGTTCTGGCTCGAAGGGAGAGGGTGAAGTGGGTGATGTGAATGGACTCGGCTCGGGAGGGGTAAGCGATAGCTACTGCTTACCTTATTCGAAATGGTGTCATGGACGGCACTGAGGAATGTAAATGTGCGTGGGGCAAACCTGTCAAGAGTGATGTCAAACATGGAATGTACGAAGGAGTAGAACACGTACAGCGTCAGGGAGAGGGTGATACAATAGGAGTGGTCGTACATGAACATTGTTGCAAGTATGCTCGCGTGTGCTCGTCAATTCTTACTTGCACTGCAGAGTGGGAAGAAGTACACGAATGCATGGAGTTATTGGAGAAGTCGTTCAGCATTGGTCAACAATACGGATGCGCGATGTGAATTCAAAAAGGGAGACGAACGTAAAAAAAGGAGGACAGTGAAGGGGAGGCAACGCAAGCGGTGGGACGAGGAGTAGAAGGGATGGAAGGGAGACAAAAAGTTGGGAGAGAAGGGATGAGCAAGTATTGTGCGAATTATTATGAAGTAGACTGGCTACTTATGCTTTACGCTGAAGGATGGCGTAGCCAGCTTGGCCGTGTCGTCATAGGATATAAGGCTCAGCACAGGCATCGCAGTGGCAGATTAGAGAGACAAATGCAGCAAGGTTTATTGTCTGTGTTGTTGCACTCAGAGTACCTGCTGGAGGACTGGACTGGAGAGAATGAAAGCAACGACATAGTGTCAGGGCCAAGGGTTAGACTTAGAGAGATGGTGGAGGTCGGAGAGAAAGAGTGACAGCTGTAAGAGCGTCATTATATGCTCTCGATCTTCAGCGTTGATTATGTAATCAATGTTCGTGATAGTAGCGAAGCTGTAAAACAAAACCAATATTATATTTAGATGCAAAAGGAAAGCACTATTTTACTTTATGATACAGTTGATAGTAATCTGACATGTCTATATTGCTTTTAACACATTGATATAGTTTTTACAAGTATCTGAATGCCTTATACAAACAATATAAAATCTTTTACAAGGTGAATTTTAGTCTGTCTTCA